CCCGGGCGTCCCCCGATCGCGCCCCGAGAGTCCTCGCTCCCCGGGCCGGCGGCCCACGGGGCCCCGGGCGCGGCCCGCGGCTCTCCACCCGAGAACCGGGAAGGCGGGGGGCAGCAGCCGGCGGGGCTCTTTGCGCCTGCGTTCGGCGGCGGAGGCGCGGCCAGGACCCTCGGCGTCGCGTGGCGTCCTTTGCTGCTTCTGGTTCCTTTTCGGGCCGCGGCGAAGGTTCCCAGCCCGTCTCCCCCTCGCCCCATTCCAGGAAAACAGCAGGGGCTGTCGTTTCAGGTCTCTGTCCAGCCCAAGAGTGTTGAAGTGCTGCTTGAATAATTCTGTAGCCGGCAGACGCCAAGCGAGTGTTAGGGTTATTCGGGGTGTCTTGTTTGTATTATAACAAAAAGGGTATTTGCCACACGGAGGAGGCTTGGTGAAGTTTGTTTTATTACCTGTTTTAGAGAAAGAGAAATACCCTCCCTGTGTGCAGTGTGAAGTCCTAGGTGCCAAATGTTAAAGGAAACAAAATGGATTTCTTGACTTTTAAGAGAGCCAGTTAATATGGACTATGCTTCAGAAGCAACACAAAACGGTGGTTGAGAGAATGGACTCCGGATGCTGGCTGCCTGGATGTGAATCCTGGCTTTGTCACTTACAGACCACGTGCCTGTGGACAAGTGACTTAACCTCTCTGTGTCTCAGTTTCCTCCTCTGAAAATTATAACTGACAGCAACCTTATTTGTTGCTGTCAGTTATGATTAGTGCTGTAATACATGCAGAGAACTTTGCCCAGGGCTTTGCACGCAATATATAATAGGATTATTCCTGAACTTACCCAAAGTAAGGCTTTGGTGCACAGTTGCCCACCAGTAATGACAGCTGATGAGACCGTAGAGTATTAGATTGGGCTTTGGGATCTGGCAACCAGGTCAGCGGTTATAGATGAATACACTTCTGGACTAATGAGATAAATGTATATAATGAGGTGGTGAGTTCAATTTAGTTACCAGGGAACATTCATCCTTGTTACCCATTCACTAACCCTCAATAAACATGCAGGCCCTGAAGTTGGATTCTCTTAGTCCAAATTGGACACTAACACTTAGTTGCTGTGTAAACACCTTGAGCAAGTTGTTTTCTCTTTGACCTTTTTTTATCTGGAGAATGGCGATAATATTATCATCTGCCTATTGAGCATTTTGAGAAATAAATGGGATAACACATGCAAATCACATAGCATAGTGCCTGGCTCATAAGTATTCAGTAAAGTTTCCATGGACCATTTAGAATCTATGGTCGCTCTATTAAGATGTTGGTGGATTTTTTTTTTCCTGGCTTGATGTCTTTCTGTAGATCCGATGTAGTTTTATTGCTAAATAATCTCTTGTACTTATGATGTCTAATGTATTGGGAGATTCCTTAAGGGGTGATCTTTTAACAGTCTTGGGTCAGTGAGGAGATGGTGACTGAGGAGGGTTATAGCCCAAGTTAGGAAAGCAAGCCTCTCTTTTCCTCAGAGTGTGGTGGTTTGTAGATTCAGCAGCTTGCCCAGCTTGTGAGATATCTTTCCTATTTGTGGCCTACCCAAGTGTTCAGGAGGAAAATGCTCCTTATGGGAACTGAAAGGAAATGTTAATGACCCTCAGTTCAGTAAATGAAAGCCCTCGGTCATTATGCTCTGCATGATGAGTGATTATTTGGAGAAAGCTGTCCCACTTGGGGTGGAGGGAGCACCGAAGCCAAGCCTGCTTGTTTCTAACTCTCGTGAAGCCATGCAGGGGTAATGGATTTCAGATCCAGTGGGGTTTTCCAAGAACACTTGCTTTTAAACAGCAAGCTTTTTAAAAAGTGTTTTCATTGTAGCCCGTCGGCTTCATTTTAAGGTTGCCATAGGCATTTTGGCTTCTCATAAGTGAAAACATGATTCTTGTAGATTAAACAGGCATTTTCTTGGATAAGACATAAGGAAGATTTTCCATTTCTGTAGCTAAGTCCAGGTCCCTCAAGATTTTTGGAATAGGGATTTTGGCTTGTTCTCCCGTTGATGCTATGCTTTGGGCTTACATCATAATTTCAGGGCCTGAAAACAATAGTAAAAATCACTTTTGCTCAGACGAGTTACCGTCTCTTGTCACACAATTCGAGTGTTTGTGTATTTAATTTTTAGATTACCCGTTTGTGTAGTTAAGGAATAAACGGGAACGTTGAAAGTGTTTTCTCGTTATTTTGCCATCTTTATTTAGTTTTTGAAATTTTGCTTTGCTGACTTGAATATGTTTTTCACTGGAGTAGACTGTTGTATGTCTTCCATCGTTTCATTATGACTGTATTAGTCACATCTTGGTTTTTAAAGAAGAGTCTTTAAAATACTCTACTAGATCTAAAATAACCTATTGAAGAGTTTTTCTTTAAATAGGCTGGATGAAACAGGCAGCTTTTAAAAATAAGACACTATCTTGCAACTGAGGGAAGTTTCAAAGCCAACATATTAGGGATTCCTTTTAAAAGACAGAAGTACAGCACCAGTCAACTTATACAATTTTCCCAACCCCATGCTAACATTCCTCAGCAGGCGGATTTTCATTTATTCATTGTGGAGCTAGGCCATCGTTTAGTATGAAAAGAAGACTAATGGTATGAGGTCTGGGTGTGTAGTTTTCTGTGTCTAAACTGACTTTTTCTTCTTTCCAAAGGAAGAGTCTGTACTCTGAAGCATTAAATCTTGCTCACCCGTGCTGCCCTTGTTTTTCTGATTGCTCCAGATAGCAGGTGCCTCCTGTAACTAGGCATGGTTATTCAGGCTTTAGGCATAGATTATTTAATTTTTTGCTGGCAGTAAAACCTTCCTACACTTACCCCAGAGAAGCATTTATGTACCAAGATTAATAATAATGCTCTGCAGGCCTAGGAATTAAATCCTTGCAGCTGCTGAGCACAGAAAGCCCCCGTCTTCCAAATTCCACATGGTTCTTTCCCTAATCCACCTGTAACTAGCACACTGCCGAAGCCTTGCTTCGTCATTCCCTTAAAGTTTACAAACATAGGCTTCCATCTTTGAGCTTTGGTAGAAATGAAGGTATTGGACCTACCTGAAGGCCAGAGGGGCTGCTCCCCCGCTCTGGATCTCTGCTGCTAAAACAGGTGTTAAATGTCAGCACTTGGGGAAGAGTCTCTGACTGCCTCCTGGGTGACTGTGGCAAGCAGAAGTGTGTATGTGACAGGAGAGAGTGTGTCTGTGTGCCTGCAGATGTTCTGACGAACACTGAGCTAATGGGAGTTAACTGACCGAAACCTTTTTTCCTCTGTCGATGGTGGAAGGCAGTATCTACTGGGGTACCCTTAAGAGTGAACTGTTTCACTACTGTCAACGATGGAAACACAATTCACTATTCATTTGTAAAGACAAACTACAAAAAAAAAGAAACTAGATTTTTTAAAATTAAAAAACATTTTAGAAAAAACAAAATAAGAAAAGAGTATACTTGCTGTGGTTTCAGTAAGTACTATTGTGAATCAAATGAGAAATTATTTGTCCGAAAGCAGGGACCACTGGTACCAACGCTAGTCATTTTCACTTTGAATTGCTCTTCTGTGGTCTTGTTGTCAATGCAAAGCTCGGAAGGATGGATTTCTAATTATTGGAGCTTCTCTACTAACTTTATGTCAGGCACTACTGTGTGCTATTGTACAGTATAGTGATTAAGGAAAGGGGCTTTGGGGCTAAGCTGACCTGGCTTTCTTTAACAGCTCTGCCATTTTCCAGGTGGAGTCATCTTAACCCTGAAACCCCTGTTTCTCCATCTCTGAAATGGGAATAATAGAAATATGTACCTTAAAAAGTGGTTGGTGGACTGGGGTGTGGTGGCTTCATGAAGCCTGTAATCCTAGCACTGTGGGAGTCCATGGTGGGAGGATTACTTGAGCCCAGAAGTTCAAGATCAGCATGGGCAACATAGTGAGACTGTATCTGTTGAACAAAATATTAAAAAAAAAAAATTAAAAATTGTTGGGAAAAGATTAATATATGTAAAGTGTTCAACTAAGGATGATATTAAAATTCCACAGTGATCTTGATAGCAAAAAAAAACCTTTGTAATTGCAAATAGTTGCGTAAAATTACATTAAGTAAACATAATGTAATTTGCCTAACCTTCCACTATTGTTGGCCATTTAATCCATTTCCATGTGGGTCAGATGATAAAACGTAGTGATCAGAGGTAGACAAATCCAGTTTTGAGTCTCAAATCTGCCACTTACTAGCTGAGCTTTTTGAACTTCAGTGTTCTTAACTGTCAAATGAGAATGACACCTACCTTATTGTAAGGATTAATGGACATGACATGTTTGGTATATAGAATGTACACAGTAAATCTTGCCTCAAAATGAAGATGCTATAATTGTATTTGTATGAATGACTTCTTTAAATTTTTTGGAAAATTTTTGGGTATATTTTTAGAGTTGCCTTTTTTAAAAAACAGATTATGCGTAGCTCAGTTGTCAACATTATTTACAGTGCTGGTCCTTCCTTTAAAAAAGCATTGTCATCTCTAGTTCCTTCCATGATGATTTTTTGTTTGTGTGCAAAAGGACGTTGGGTTATTTTCCTGTTCTAGTTATAGTGTTTGATAATGATTGTGATACTGAAATTACGGCAGTAGTAAGGACAGCTCTCAGAGTTGATCTACTGGCTATCTTCACTGTAAATACAAAACAAGAAATGCAAAATAAAAACCATGGGTAGGTTTAGGCAAATGTTTTAGCCTTCAGAGTTTACTAATAATAAAAAATCAGGCAATCTGTAGCATAACAATTAGTTGCTGAGTAGGTTAGTTGTCTCTTGAGGAGACTGGAGATGAGTCACACATTAGGAAGTGGGTTGAAGACTCTGAGCCTTGCCATACCAATAGGAGAGATTTAGAATTGCAGTGATCTCTGCCAGGATCCCTGATCTTCCCAAGTCTTCAGCACAGAAACTAAGATAGAAAATAGTAAACCATATTTACTGAGCATGGCAATGTATGAAGTCATGTGGAGAACCAGAAAAAACAAAACAAAACAGACACAGGTCTTGTCCTTTAAGACCTTACTTGATAATAGGATGAAGCAACTTTTGATCACAGATGAATATGCCTTACTTTCTTCCCACATTCAGCTTTTCTTAAAAGTTTATCAAGAAAACACGATTATAAGTTACTTGACCCGTTTAAGCCTTCATACAGAATCCTATTCAAACTCCTACTGGAATATATTGCTCTATCCTTACTTAATTAAAAAGAAATAGTAGACAAAGAATACAAGTCAGTGTAATTACTGAATACAGTAATCTTTACTTATTTCAAGGGAGAGATAAAAGACTGAGTTAAGGGATATATATACTGACGGAGTAACTACACAAAAAAGGAAGCATAATTGGAAAAAGAAGATGAAAACCAACTTCAAGCCCAATCCCTTAATTTTGCATTCAAACTCTTTAGAACCAGAAAGGTAGAATAACTTGACAAGGGTAACACAGCTGCAGGGGTCTGCCGACATGGTGGGTTGCAGGGAGGCACAGGAGAAACACTGTTTTGCGAACTCATGACGGTGCGTTTCAAGAAATGCACACTTTCCAAGCATTGATGGAGAAACAGCTCAACTCATTCTGTGGGCTAAAGAGTGTTAGGATAAGCATGGACTATTATTACTCTTTTAATAAGTGGCTGGTTTTTAAAGGAAATAATATAAATAATATTTGAAAGGGAAATGTTTGGCTTGTTGAATAAATTCCACAGCAGGAGCCACAACTGAAACTAGCAAAGAAGAGAAAAGAGGAAGGAAAAGAAAGTACACAGAACGAGGCAAGCCTCAGCTAGTAGGATGGGTTGTCAAGAGAAAACCGTGACAAGTGACTTGGCATTTTTAAGTTAGAGCAGTCAACTACATATGGCTACCTGACCAGAGCGACTGGTATCTTCATATAAAAGCTTCATGTTCTCTGATTAAGTTGGACTGTTTGCTTTAAACCAAACTGGACAAAAAATTTCAGAGGGGTTTTGCAATGTTGTGCTAGAAAAAATTCACTTAAAATTCATTTTTAGGAAAAGGATGGAGTTTGGGATTCTTAATTTCTACCCTTGAGTAGAGAAAATAAATTGTTGATATGCATGTGTACGTGGGGTCTGTGTGTTGAGGTAACATTGCAAGTAAAATGCTGAGAGAAGTTGGAAGCAGGGGAAGCGCTGGATTACTTCTTAAAGCCCGTTTATTATTCCACACTCTGTGAAACATCTCTAAAATCTTTTAAGAGAATGGCAAATGAAAAGGTTGATTTTATTTGCAAGATCTGGCATTTTGAAACACTTAGAAATGCATTCCTGCAGACAGAGTTGATTTAGTTCCGTTGGTCTACACCTGCTCCCGGCCAGCTGTGTTTTGTTTTTGGTATTGTAAAAGTGCTATGTCCTGTGCAGGTGGCTGGCAGGCTCAGGAAGTCGGAGAGAAAAGGTAACTTTAAGAGTGGCTGCCTTTATGCCATGGTGGTTGTGCAGTACAGATAAAATACGTGTTGATGGGACATTGTATCTTATGTGAGGGTGTGTTACATTTGAGCTCATAAGCATTATATAATTGAAATATTGTGTGATTATACAGAGCTGTAAACTTGACTCAGAAATGAAACTGTATTGTTTTATAAATTCACAACTTTATCAGGGGTCTTGGAAAAAAAACGCTCGTTGAAGTACCGTTGTCATCATAGCTCATTTCTGAGGCTAGCAAATCAGTATTGAACATGGTTGAAATGTGCATGTGGTAAATTTTTTTTGATAAATATATTCATCTGGAGGTCGGTTAGTGTGTATTTTGGAGTTTTGTTAGGGGTGAAGGTAGGGTGTTTACTTGCGATTACATGCAAGTCTAAATTTTTCAAAAAAGCAAAGAAGCAAAAATGGTAGTGAAAAAGCAATCTTTTTGATTTCAGAAACAATAGATTTCCTGAGATTTGTCTTATGAGTATATGCTGCAGATTCCATGTACACAGTTCATCTGTTTTTTTTTTTTTTTAATTGATGGGGAGTGAGTAGGGAAAGAAAGTTCAAAGGCTTATCTGTTTGTATTTTTCTTTGGTTAATGGGATTAATAACTGTGTAATTGAAAACAGTCTAATATTTAGCTGATCTGCCTCAGGGAGCTAATGCAGACACTTCTGGATTGACTTACACAGCTGGGAGGAAGAGTATATTTTGAGAAATAAAACCGATTTTATACAATCTGATGCACAGAAAGGCTTAAAGAGTGGTAGCCTCAAGAAACCTCATTACAGTAGCTGGAATGAATGAACAGGAAAGGGAAGCAAATTTTTCAAGAAGAAAGTTTTTGCTTAAGTATGTAATTTTATAGATTAATATTATTTCCATCCCCCCGAGCTTTGCAGGGAGAAGACATACCTGAGTTCCAATGTTCTTGGTAAATTTTTAGTGATAATTTTGTTTTCCTAAATCTCTTTTGCTTGAACTGGGCTATCCTCCTTCTCTGTTTTCTTTCCCCCCTTTAAAACAACTTTTAATTTTGAAACGATTAGATTGACAAGGCAGATTCACAGGAGGTTGTAAAGAAATACACAGGGAAGTCCTGTGCGTACTTGGTCCAGCCTTCTGCGTTGCTGACATCTTGATAACTATAATATAATTTAAAAATCCGAGTTGCTCCTGTTACAAAAATCAAATTCTGCTTAAGACATGTACATCATAAACCTGTTTAGCAGAGGAGGCAGATCTGTTTTGGCTAAGGCAGCCTTTGTGGAATCTACGTTTATGAGAAGCATGCACTGAACCTGCAGTCAAACAACTGTATGCAGTTTTTGATACGGACATGTCCTTTTTTTCTCTAAGGTGAGATTTTGTCAAGGAAAAATGTGTAGTTATTAAGACATACCTCTAAGACCACTGCATGGAAGACAGTACATTTCACTCCTGAAGTTTTGCAGATAACAAAGCCTTTCCTGTCTACTCCCAAATATTCTTCCTTTAATATTCACTGCAGAGGGTTGTACCCAGGGGAATTGATGCAGGGATTTGGATGTTTACACCATCAACTTTTCCGGTGATGCTGAAGAGTTCCATGCCTTTTGAGTGTTAGAAAAGGCTGTTGATAAAATTTATAACTTTAAGTGTAGTGTATTCTTGGATGCTAGAATTGTTTTTTTTTTTTTTTTTTTTAATCTCATCCTGATTTAAAAAAAAGTAAAGGAGTTTAGGTATTTTGGGGTCTTTTCTATTTTGCAGGGGGTGTT